CGACATTAAAGGTTAAGGGTACGTCGCTCATGTAAATTGCAAATAAAAGGGGAAGAGAAGTGGTCTCTGAGGGGCTCCTGCTGTCAGAGATCGGAGCGGCGACCGGGTATCTCACAAGCATACGCTGACGACGCGACCATTTCTATATGATTTCAGCACGTTGTAAAGGCCATGAGGAACGGATAACGAGCGCAGTTGTGCAGCAGTGCTTCATGCCCAACTTGATCAAATGCCTTTTCAACTTCAAGAAAGACAGCGCCAGTGCCTTCTTATGGTGAAAAAGGCGAGCGGGTCGGTAGTTGCTAGATGCTGATTCCAGTTTAAGTGTTTTTAGTAGCCTCATAACGATCGCCGTCTTCCCTTGAATCGGAAAGGTGCTAAAGAGCATCGAAGATTTTATAAGGAGGTTAAAATAGAGCATCCCATTTACGGCATTTTCTTCAGCATCCCATTAGTGATGCCATCGGAACCAGGCACTTTTCGTTTAGCTAGCGCTTCGACATTTGCTTGCACCTCGTCGACACTAACTAAAGCATGTGGTTCGTAGTTAACGAAGAGAGGTAAGCTGAGCTAAGGGAATGCATCGTCATTAGCAGTATAGTAAGCAACTGGCACGTTTTGGATAGCAAGAACAAGGGCGAAAGGCGTAGTTTTATCTCCATCACTCTCGGTCATTCTATTTCCTTCAGGAAGGAGCGGTAATGGTGCGAGCCCCCGATTTTTTGATCCTCAGATACGATGCAGTTTGCTCTCCCATTTGTTAAAATGAGTCATTAGATTATTTTTTTTTCTAATGCGCCTGAAGTCAATTAACCGCAAGTTTATCTCCGGCGCTCTGCGACAACTGGTTACTCGAATAAGACGTCAACGTTAATGGATAAGTGCCTTTAAACGTCAGGCGGGCGATCGAGGCGGTACTTTACTTGATATGTTCTGGTGGCAGTAGTCTGAGCCATGTTAAGTGCGGCTTCGAAAAGAACGACAGCTTCATCCAATAGGGCGGCGTGGTTTCTAATACATCTGAACATTTGTCCCAGTCGGTAAAAATACGTGTAATAGTCTTTGGTATATCCTTCTCGTCCCCTAAATAGAGAATAACTTTGAAGTGCTCGGAGGACAGCTCGTGGAGCGCTTCAATTGCCGTAGAGAAACGTATATCTTTAAGTATGGCAATATCCAGTACGTTCATTGTGCCTATAGTCGCCAAGTATGTTAGTTACTGGGGACCTAGTATGCACAGCCCGTGCTCATCAGTATAGACCTCTAAGATGTGACCATTCGAGTTATCGGCTTGGCTGTTCCATGTAGGGTGCTTGCAATTAAAGCCCCGCACAAAACAGTAGAAGAGACACTCCCAAGGATGGCGTCCAAATCGGAGAATGGAAGTAGCTTCCTAGGAGATTGGTAGACAGCGATTAAAGACAGAGGCTCCTTGTAGCTATAAATAGGAAAATTCCCACTGCCTCTATACGTAGTGGAATTGGCATAGATATCAAATTATGGCAAACACACCGTTTCATAACGCCCCCGCCGTGTGCATAAGTTCAGTTGGCGGTACGTAAAAAGTTGTACAAATTAAATACGACTTTAGGAAGGAGGTGCACCTCGGTGAGGGCGCACACATCAATTCTTCCACGTAGTAGCAGCTCCTGAAGCTCGAGCTTCTTACTCCGAAAACCATTCGCATCCCAGAATAGGAGTCAAATGTGACAGAGACTTTTTGGCTGAGAAACCGTTGCAAAACAGATTCCAACCCTTTTTCAGTTTCAAGTGTGCTGGATAAATTCATCGTTAAAATGATAACTTCCGCCGTATTGTCGGCTGCCACTGTTCAGCCTTCCGCAATAGATGCGCGGCCAAGGACTTAAGACTCTAACGGGATACTGGATAAATCTCGATTAGGTTTGTCCTTAAATGAGACGCAAATGGAAACCCTCGGGGTGATAAAAGTATTGTTTGTAGTGGGTGCCGACGGAGCAAACTTTGCGGGTTGGCTGGCTGCCTTACGCGGATAACACTTGCAGTCTTAATAATTAGCAATATGTGCCTTGCCAAAATTCGCGCATCTAGCAGACGAGTCTCATGCTTTGGTACACGCTGAGGTCAAATGACACTCCCCGCATTTAGCGCATTGAGGTGCCGCAGCGCAAAAGCTTGCAGCGTGGCCAAAGGTTTGGCAGCGGTGGCACGGGCCTACGCGACTGCTTTTTCAAAGTTCTTCTATTTTGATCATAAGATGGGAAAGAGTATTCATCTCAAAAAGCTTTTGCCGCTCCTTTTTGGGTATACGCACCAGAACTAGTGTTAATGGACGCATCTCCCGCTCACTGTTGACACTCGGAGGGGTATGATGCCTTGCGCGTACAGTTCCGCCTTGACGTTGGAGATTTCGAGTTCGAAATAAATTCCACGAATAACAAAATTGTGTGGCCTGTCTTCAGGTAATTGATAAATAATATATTGTAATTCTTGCTTGCGCATTATCGCCGTGATTGCACAATATTCTTGAGCTTTGTCGGAAATATTTTAATTCCAATGTGCGTATCCCTTGATCTCGGGAGCAAGGCACCGTTTAACTGCAAATGTTGTACAAGAAGGGGCCACTTTTTTTTTTCACAAAGGATAATAGGAGGAAGCCCCTCTTGAAGAGTTCTCAGGGGGGGGGTGGTTCATCTAATAGAGAGACAGTGTCGGAAGCGCTGCCTATCTCTATGACTACGGAGTCCTATAAAGCTTTTGTGGGTTACTCCGAGCCTCTAATGGTTTGTTGTTGTTTATTAAAATAAATAAGCTTTATATATGTTAAAAAAGGGAACAATATTAGACCAATAGTAACGAAGAACGTGAAGTAGTTAGATTTCTTAGCTTATCCGTCATAGATATAATCAATAACGTTCAAGCTGAGGATCTCCTTCTTTGCGACAAAAACCGTTGCGATATAGTTTTTAAATTTTTAATAACCTCTTTGCTAATAATGGATTGATAATAGATGTTGGCCTCTCAATCAACCAGATAAAGCTCTTTTTAGTACTGGAGTAGTCAGAGAAGAACTTAAAACTTCTAACATGATTTCTCTATGCATTAAGCATCTAAAAAAGTAAAAAATGGGATATATTATATATATGATAAAAAGTAAATTCATTATCATTATTAATATTTATGTTAGTATTACTATTATGATTATTATTAACACTATTATTAAAATTAGTTTAAGTATTATAAGTATTAGGATTAAGAGTAGCATTAAAATAAAATTTTATTACTATTAATATTGGTAGCTTTAAAATTAGAGTGATAAGTATTAGTATTATAATAATATCATTAGAATAATTAATATCACTATTATAATATATAGTATAAGAATTGTTCTTAGTATAATTAATATTAATACTTGTATTATAACACTTGCAGGTCTCGGTTTAGCTTTAAGTAGATCAGTAAAAAAAGATTATTACATTGAAGTAATTAAACCGTTATGCATGCTCAATATTTACCACAAAATCGGAGAATTGAGGTAGAGATGGTAAGGCACAGCCACTTTGCATCAATTTTTTACTTAATGCGTGGCAAACCTAGTCGACTTCCCACACAAAGCGGGTTACGGAAAACTTAGTAAAAAAATTTTAGCGGCGGTATAATTCTGAGATACAGAGAAAAGAAAGCAGGATGTTACAATTATGAGTCGTTTGGGTTCTAAAAAGTTAATAACGAGCGCCAAAATTACTGTTAATAAAATAAATGAAAATAAAAGTGTAAAATAGGCCGTTAAATATAATCTATTATAAACAAAATAATAATAAATGAAAAAAAGAAAGAATTAGCCAACAAAACTGTGAAAAAAACAGGTTAAAGACAGAACCAAGATCGTATAAAAAAGAGGCAAAGCTAGTTTCACTATAAAAGGTATAACAAAAATCAAGAAGCTCTCTGATCTGAGTAGCGCGGAGGTGCTCTATTTGTTTTTCTCCGCAAAATCCAGAATAAAAAACAAAGAAATTTAACCACTTTATTAATTACTTTTTATAATTCATTATTCTATGACGCTCGAGCTAGCGACGGGCCGTCTGGACTTCCTTCTAGCTTTAAAGTATTTTGAATTGAAGACTGCAAAAAAAATCGCCAAATTATTTATGAAAAAAGAAAATAAATTTCCAGCATAAAGTAGTTGATCACCATTTCCCGGCCAAGTTTGTCTTTAATGACGTTGGAGTGCGCCAGCGGAGTAGCCTCTCCGGCAATGAATTCCGGGCGCAACCCATTTATATAAGAGTTGAGCCCAGGTTAAGTAAAAATTAGGTGTTTGAAGTAATAGCATGTGCCCAATTGTAACCCGATGTCATGAGAGTAGTCATATATATTTAAACATAATAACCGTACACAACTAGTGATTAAAAAAAAAAATAGTAAGCTGCATCTGGAAAATCCCTCAAAAAGTAATTAATTTATAGGAAACATCATACTCTTAAAAAAATTAAAGATGTACCAACAGAGAAACAGATTTTCGAGGTCTAAAAATTGTTACAAGTTGCGTAAATGACTAAAGGTGTCAAATGCAAAGAATGGAGTTCATGTTAAACACTAAGGATAGTTCGTAAAGTGTTGTAAGCCGAAAAAGACTTGTATTTTGGTCAACAAACGTGAGAAGGGTATTCGAAATTAATTTATTTGATCGCTCACTGGTTAGCACTAGCGAAAGCAGAAATTTCGGTGTTATTATCTAAAAGGTTTACAGTATCTAAGCGAATTAAATCACTACTCCAATATCTCAAACTTAGTGAAGGCTACATTAGATTATATTTAGCAAATAAAAACTTAAAAAAATGAGTTTGAAAGTACATAGCCCGTACTATTAACAAAACTAAGAAAGTTGGCTTTTTCAAAAACAGATCTAAACCAAAAAAGTAAGTTTTCATAAGTTATTGGGTACTAATGATAATCTTCCTACTTTATTAAATGCTTACAGTAATTTTCTAACGTTTTATTATAAAATTACACCACTTTTACAATCGAGGATAAGTGCCAATAACTACCCCACATGCAGGGCAGCTGTGAATAACATCTAATACTACATCCAAGTAGAAAGGAATTAAATAACAAGGCCAACATCCTATTAAGGTTAGACCAAGGCATGCAAGCCAAGCGGCTAGCCCAGCCTTATGAGCCACCGACGTAGTAATAACTTTTCTGCAACGAGGACATTTCATAGTTACTGGGCCCACACTAAGCTGGTACGATTGCACATTTTGAGAATCATCAGGGCTTCTACTATCCGATCCATAGGCTGGGGGATCCTGATTTAGTACGTTTGCTGAACCGGGTTCATGCATATTGTTTCCTACAGGTGTGTATATAGGATAAGTATTAACTATAATAAGCAATAGATAGCTAATATAGCTTTTAATAAGTAACTTGGTACTTGTAATCAGTACTCATAAATTAACACACCTGCAACTATTATAATAAATTATAATACTATCCAGAACACTAAACACTAATTTTTTCTTGAATAATTATTGTAGTTATTAGTATTAATCCTAAAAAATGATAAACTCTGCATGAGGCTCCTAACATAGCAATTTTATAATAATGATCACTAGGTACTTTTAGAAAGTAACTAAAAATTAGGAAATATGCCACAATTATACTACTATCCATAAACCATTTTTTCAGGATTTAATTAGCACAGTTAATGATAATAACCTAAAAAAAGGGAAGGGTTTCGGATCCTACACTTAGTGAACAGTAATAAAGTGATTTTATAATATAATATATTAGAAAATATATAACAATTATTTCTTTTCGGAAGTTACCCGCTTTGCAAAAGGGGTGAAAAGGTAAACTTATTATACTAAAAATTATGCAAATATAATTAAAACATTTAACTTAAAAACCCTTTTGGAGTCTTTTCCTAGTTAATTATCTTCGAGATTAGTTAGTGAAGTTAAAAATTTACTTAAATGCCAAATAATAACCTTATCCATTATTTATATTTTCTATTAACTAGACGCTTACAAACAACTAAATTAAGTTTTAATCGATTACTAAAAAGATCATCCTACTGATGATCAAAATATATTTATGATTAATCTTTTAGATCAGAAATATATAACAACAGTCAATATTAACAGACCTAAAGCCTCAGACGAAGCGACAGGAAGCAGTGAGCAAAAAAAAAAACCAATTTCTTTATTGAAAATAGTTATATATATATATATATATATATATATATATAAATGGTGCGGTTAACAATGTTTTCGAAATACTATTTGTATCCCTATCGTAGTAACTGGTACAAAAACGACTTTTGGTATTTTCTCGTGCTCTACACGTCGACAAAAATATGCTAGTAATTTGGTCATTGGGGCGTTTACTAAAGTAGCGTCAGTTTAGACCACGTGCTGATGAATAATCCGTTTATTAAAATATGACAATTAAAGTTAAAATTATAGACAGTCCTATTTAGAGAGTAATTGATATTTTTATCGTTTTACGGCTTACAGATAGTTTATTATATCATGTAAAAACACTAAATATATCTTATGGCTTCTCTTCTCTTCTTAAATTTTTCTATATTTCCAAAAAAAATTTAATGTTAATGGCTTAAAGTTTTCTTACTAAGAAATATACATAAAAAACAAGTAAATACACAATAACACAAATTCATAGAAGATAAACCATAAAAGTTTTAGCTCTATAAAAAACATAAAGTAATATTTATAGATTAATTTTTTTAAAACTATTCTCGACAGGAAACTATTTATTCAGATATTTTTTTTAAATTAACATTATTGGTCGTGGTAAACGTTCAAATTTAATGTTTTTTTGGACCGTCTAAATTTATTAAAACTAGTAAAGTTTATTAAACTAGTTTAGTGTCTGTTGCTTATAATAATAAAAATTAGTAAAACTAATTGTTATTGTATAATATAAAATAAAAACTTTTACATTGATTTCATATAAGAATTTAAACCTTTTCCTCTAAAGTCAGTGATATTAGCACATAATTAGCTCTATGCTTAAAAACAAGATTCTTGTCTTTTTACTTCCTAGGCAAACATGTAACTTTTTCGGTTAAGTTACGCACAGTCAACAGAGGATACAAATAATGATGAATTACATTTGCCATTAGCAAAACAATACTAGTTTACTTCATAACACGTAAACTTTTAAAAGTAATTAAAATTTTTCTCTTTACTTTCCAGAGTATAAAATTATTTCTTGGCAGTTAAAGTATAATATTTGTATAGTTTATGTTACAACACACGAGTTAGAAATAAAAAATCTAGGAACTAAATGCGGTAGCATCCCTCAAGGTGAGCGCAACTTATAACTTCGATTTTTACAATTCATCTAGTGTTGTACGGGGCTAAAGGAAAAAAAGTGTTACAAATTGTTTAAAGGGAAAAACGTAGATAATGTTTTCATTTATAGGACTGTGTGCTATATGCTTAGAGAGCAGGGAAAGAGTAGTGGGATTAACGACTTAGGATTATAGGTAAAACAAGTTTTTATTTCATTTCATACAAATTTAATTTTTTATTTTAAATGATAACAACATAGTAGTAAAGTGAACGAATTTTATCATAGTAAGCTACATTGAACAACTAGTTTAATAACATTTTTAATATACGATATACCATGTTAAAATATTTAAATAACGGAAATAACTACAAAAAAATAAATGAAAGTGGCAAAAAAGAAAAATATTTTGTTAATCGCAAAACCTTAAAAATATAGGTCATTTATTTTCTTTTTTTTTATTTTGTTTTCAAGGGATAGTACACCTTTTAGGTAATGCAATTATTAAGTATATACATTTTAGTTTTGTAGATTTTTTAACTTGACTAATTAATAACAAAGATACTATTTATAAAAAATACTATGGAGTGTTACCAAATTAATAATTGTATTTAGTATATTTGCATAACTTTAGGTATAATAAGTTTACCTTTTGCAATAGTAGCTTCCAAAAAGAGATGATTTGCTATATACTTTTTCATAAAATTCTTATAAAGGTCATTTTATTACTGACTGAGTATAGGATCCAGAAACTTCTGCCTCTTCTAAGGTGAGTATTGATAACCATGCCGAGTAAATTGAGAAAAAATTAGTTTATAGGTAGATATAAAATTTGTTAATATAATTGTATCTCTCCATCTCCATATGTACTTTGTATAAGTATCAAGTGATCGTAATTATTTATTTTCTATGATAGGAGCTTAATATAGAGTTTATCATTTTTTAGGATTAATACTAATAACTACAATAATTATTCAAGAAAAAATTAGTGTTTAGTGTTCTGGATAGTATTATAATTTATTATAATAGTTGCAGGTGTGTTAATTTATGAGTACTGATTACAAGTACCAAGTTACTTATTAAAAGCTATATTAGCTATCTATTGCTTATTATAGTTAATACTTATCCTATATACACACCCGTAGGAAACACAATATGCATGAACCCGGTTCAGCAAACGTATTAAATCAGGATCCCCCAGCCTATGGATCAGATAGTAGAAGCCCTGATGATTATCAAAATGTGCAATCGTACCAGCTTGGTGTGGGCCCAGTAACTATGAAATGTCCTCGTTGCAGAAAACTTATTACTACGTCGGTGGCTCATAAGGCTGGGCTAGCCGCTTGGCTTGCATGCCTTGGTCTAACCTTAATGGTATGTTGGCCTTGTTATTTAATTCCTTTCTGCTTGGATGATTTATTAGATGTTATTCACAGCTGCCCTGCATGTGGGGTAGTTATTGGCACTTATCCTCGATTGTAAAAGTGGTGTAATTTTATAATAAAACGTTAGAAAATTACTGAAAGCATTTAATAAAGTGGGAAGATTATCATTAGTACCCCAATAACTTGTGAAAACTTACTTTTTTGGTTTAGATCTGTTTTTGAAAAAGCCAACTTTCTTAGTTTTGTTAATAGTATGGGCTATGTACTTTCAAACTCATTTTTTTAAGTTTTTATTTGCTAAATATAATTTAATGTAGCCTTCACTAAGTTTAAGATACTGGAGTAGTGATTTAATTCGCTTAGACTCAGGTAGATTATCTGGCTATTCACATTAATTAAAACAATGTTTTATACGACGGCCACCTTAGAATGTAACTTATTAAAGCAGTAGTCCTAAAAAAAGGGTGAAAATGCAACACCTGTGTAAATGATATTTTACGATATTTCCAGCTAACGGGTTAGTCCGCCATAAAAATTTAAAAATTGTCATGGAAAAGTATGTATAGTCTTGTGGAAATCCCTCCCCCCCCCCACACGGGTATCTTGATGACCATGGAGCTTTTGAGTCGTGCCCTGTTTAAGCTGGGATATTTGCTTCTATCTATATTGACCTCAATTTGAAAGAGTATACTAAGTGGGTGCTGTTAATTATTTAAGTCATTCAAGTTTTTATCGATGCCAAAGTTCTCTACTTATAGCATTGGTTAAAACTCTATAAAAAAGGCAAGTGGCCAATTAAGAGCACTGTGCTTTATGATGTATACTTTTGCGAGAAGTCGCTATTAGTTTGTGTACAAATGTGTCTAAATAACTCCCCTCGCTCCAAGCTGTCCTCGGGTGTGAGTGTTAAGCAATTTTCAAACTAGTTTTCCTCTCTTTTATATAACATCCTAGTTATAGGTGCAATGATATAACTAAGATTACTGGAAGAGGATAACAAAATAATTTTAAATCATGAAAATTTCTTATCACGTTATCAGCACTAAAATTCAAATTTTTATTATTAATGGTTTTGTTTGTCGTCGGTTTCCTAAAGTTAGCAAGTTTTTTATAGTGGTAATTTTGTGTATTAATAAGCTCTCCAGTGAGTAGTTGGTATTGTGAGAATTATTAACATACAGTTAAATTCTTAGTGGGATTTATCTATTTAATATGAGGTTACGAATCGCGACTCTAAAAGGAGACACCACCCGCAGTTGCCTACCATAAGTTCGTTATGATAGAACATAGTTTCGACTACTTGCGAGTGTTGTGAAGTTAGAAGATCACTGTCGCCTTTTTATTGCGTAGGACTCTTCTATAAAGGAAGAGCGTTTGTTCCTTCCCCCGAAAAATTTTAGGAGGACAGAATTACTTCTTGTTTTGTTTACAAGGACCACTATGCTTGTAACTGAGAAATATGAGCATCAAGATAATACTATAATACTAAATTTTCGGTCAAAAATGTAGTTAAGCCAAAGAAACTGAATGTATGAAATTACTACGCTTAACCCAATCAACCTGCCTCAATCTATATATAAAATTATTTTAAAAAAATCGTAAAAGTCGTGTTCTCGAAAAAAAGAAAATTAGATAACACAGAGACAAGAGCGGAGCGTCTTGAGAGTACTTAATATATACTTTAAATGATATAACCATTAAAATTAGCATTGATCTACATCTGAATAATCCCTCATATAGTACTTAATTATAGGAAATCATACGTCCAAAACGAGTTAAAGATGTATTAACATATATACAAATTCCGGGGTCTAAAAAGGATTAAAAGTTGTGTAAAATGATTAAAGAAAAGGTAAATGCAAAAAAAGAAAGGAATTCATATTAAACTCAAAGGACAGTTCGAAGAGTGTTGTAAGGCAAACACTTGTATTTTGGTTACCAAACGTGAGTGTGAGCTGAAGTATTCGAAATTAATTAATTCGAGCGAGCACCGATAACCCTCATTTTGTGATTAACGTAAATGAAAGCAGAATTTTATGTACTGTCCATGCACGTTTCATTCCCTTGAGTCCATATTTAATGTCCGATGTCCACCTTAAAAACTGAGTATGAGGTGCTTTTTGGTCTGCTTTATGCGGAAATTATTCAAGTTTTTGAAAGTTCTAATAGTAAAGTAAGAAAATATCAAACCAATTTTTATGTTATAGCCAGATATTACAAACTTGTTAGGAGCAAAGTAAACTTAAGATTGAGAAACTTGGGTTTTGGGTTGGGTGTGTAGTAGCCCACAGGTAAGTCTACATAACTAATTCATACAGCTATTTTTTACATTGTTGTTATAATTTATTGCTATAACTCCTATCATGATATTGATTTACTAGATGTTACTGTCTGCAAAAAGTTTTTGGTTTAATATATTATAGTATATTAAAATCTTTCTAAAGTGCTATATTACACTTTTTAATTCCTTTCTCTATATTAACCATAATAAATTCTCAATAACTTTATTGGTCTATTTTAGTAACTTTTATAAGTTCGTTCTCTTTGTGATTTACTAGAATCTCAAAGAACCTCACTTCTCTTAAACTTTCTTCTCTGGAAGTAATGAAAATTCTTTGCAAAGATTTTTGGTTGAGACTATTTAATAAGCAAGTTGATAACTTGCGAACAAACCATCGAGTTAGTTCGCTTGTCTTGCAACCCTTTTTAATTACTATCTTTATAGACTTTCGTTACTTATAAATTATTGGGTTTCAACAGCATTTTTAACTGTTATAAAAACTAGTCATTTTTTAAAAAAATGATTTTGTAAAGTATATACATAAAGTAAAAAGTACAATTTTATTAAATTATTTGTTTACCAAATATAAACTTCTTCAGTGTATTTTTATAAAGCACTATTAAGTTATTTTCTCCTGCTCAGGAATTTAGCATATACGTAATGTCTGAGGTTAATATTAAAAAAGTTTGGTAACACTATGAGCTTCTTCACTATGCTCTGTTCTCTTTCTATAACTACTACTAGAGAGACTAGCTTATTTGGTCCCCAATAAATACTTTTAAACCACCTCTTTCTACGTCAAAGTTCATGTTAACTATACAGTAAAGTTTTCAAACTGTAATATACCATACACTCACCCATTTTCACTCGCTGCACGCATTACGGTGAGAACAAGCATATCGCACTCATTTGTACTTGAAACTTTTGGCTCTCGACTAACTCAAGGTGCGTCTATCGGTTCTAAGAAAATTTATGCTACTAAAGAAACTAAAAGCGTTTGGTAATAAAAAAAATTCTGTTTATAAATCGGTATCCTCCAATTAGCTATATTGATTACTTAACATGGATGCTTAAAAAAAAAAAAATTTAAATTTTAAAATATTATACATAAAGATATACTTGAAAAAAATAAACTTTTTGGGTACTTATCTAAGATGTGGCTTTATATTCAAAAGTTTTTAAAAAATTATTATCTATATATATATTTTACCTTGGTTTAACAAATTTTTATACTGAAGACTATAATTTTTTAAAATACTTTCTTTATGTAACATGTAACCCCTTTATCTCCCATTAAAAAATATTTTAACTTTTTGAAAAATTTATTATCATTCAATAGCGGTTTATATAAAAAAAGTTTTTCCCTTTTTTTCTTAAAATTTTAAGTTTTTACTTTTTACTTTTTACTCTATAATAATAAACTGCCCTGTATTTGTGTTACCATTAAAATTGGTTTCATTTTTTCGGCACCCCTTTACATAGTGTCATAAAATACTTTGCTATTTTCGTTTTTCTTTTCAAAATTTTCCGGATGGAAAACTGTTATCTACTGAACATCATTTACAAAATAGTTGCAAGTAGTTAAAAATTTTTTTTGGATATTCTGCTTGTAGTAAAGGCTTCATTTTTTGTTCAATTAATAAAAGATGTATTGATAATTACACCACCATTATTTATTATTTACTTCCTCTGCCCTTTTTTGTTATCCATATTAGTATTTTATACTCTATATGTGTAAGTTTTGCTTGTCTTCTGTAAGCGCAGGGGATTTTTATAATCCATGAGTCTCAGTTTCGTCCTTTACTTTTGCTTCACGACTTCTTCAAGGATCCGGATCGTCTTACTGAAGTCTTTTAAATCTGATCTCTACTCTCTTTCATATATAATACTTTTAGTAACAACAACTATATAAATAATTTTTAAAGTTACATATATTTTATTTACAGAACTATCTTTTTAATATTGTCGTAACGTTACTTAGTTATATTTTCGTATTTTTATTACATTTTTAGTTGTTACTGTTGCACACTGGGCTTATTAAAGGGTTTCTACACGCCTTTAACTTGGAGGCGGCAGTCAGCACCGAGCTGACCAACGCTCCTGCGTGTATCATATTATTTCTCGCTGTTTTACTTATATATTTTTCATTAAAAACTATAATAATTATTTTTATAAATCCTTTTTAAAAATTGGATTATTTATTCTTTTTCTGTTAAAAATAACAATTCATAAATTCAAAAAATATACATAAATTTAGAAACTAATGTTAACTTACACTATATTTTAATTATCTATTATACAATAATTATTTTAGTTATATTTATATATAAAAATAAGTATAGTTACTTATTAAATTTGTTAATTTGTCATATACCTGAACATTATCTTTATCAATATTACTTTATTATAACTCTCTATTTCTATTCATTTATAATATCTATTTATATTCGAATTCTCTTCTGTGTAGTATTATTGTTCATTGAATTATATTCAACGCTTCACTACCGGGTGTGTTAATTTTTTATAGTCGTTTTACTCCATACTGGTTATAAAATATTTTTTTTTCTCCTTATTTATATAATAAATTATTTATAAAATATTATTTAAAACTTTTTAAGTTTAGATTCTAATTGCTATTACTTATATAAACTTTTTCGGTAAAAGACTTTTAACAGCTTTGAGATAGTGAAGCCAATACCAAAATCCGCACACCGCTTAAGTAAAACACCAGCAGGAGATTTATTAATTAAAAAAAGCTTTAACTATTAGAATGATACAAGTACGAATAGTGCAGTAAAAATCAAAACTTTTTTATTGAGATTTTTGGAAATTGATGACCTTTAGATTTGCTTAATAATTAACATTTATTATTAGAAATTTCGTTCATGAGTTTTTTTAAAGCTATTTACCTTACAAAACATAAAATAAAGGCTGGCTAAGAAGATTAAAAAAAAAGTGTATAAGAAATCATAGGCTTCCGCATAGATTTCAGGCCGCTTTACTTTTTTTCTGATAGGAAAGCGCTAAAGATAATGATAAATAAAGACGTCTCGTGTTTAGTATAGAAAAAGGTTGAGCAATCACTGCTTGTTTTCTAGAAGTTGTCTTTTATTGTATGGTTAAAAATTATTAAAGTTAAAAAATAAATAAAACAATAGTATATTGCAAAAGAAAAACTTCGCCTATTTAATTTCTAACAAAGAAGGCTTTGAAGAACTTGGAGAATGTGTTGGGTAGTTTTTAGTAATCTTTTCAGTCTCTGCTATTTTAGTAGTACACAGTTGCGTCTAAGAGGTAGATAAAAAGTTTTTAATTTGGAGAACACAACCTATATGTAGTAAGTATAATTTCTATTGCATAGCTTAAAAAAAGATGGTGGGTCAGAAAATTATATTTTTATTCTGCTTCAAAGATGCTGTTTTACTTAAAGACCGTGTGGATAATTAGATAACTTAAGCTGAAAATAAATAGTTTAGCTAATAGTAAATGAAAAAAGTAGACTGCAATAAAAATATTCTACTTGGTTTTACTATTATGGCTTGTGCGACATAAAGTAGAGTGCGCTTATTAAGAAGTAAAAGAAAAAAAAAAGAACAACTTATAAAATTTTCCGCAAAGTAGACACCGCGAGACTTAAAAATGTTTAGTTTGGTTATTTACTTTAAGAAACTTTTATTTATGCCACCTTAATATTTTCTTTTTAAAAGTTAATAAACTATTTCTTTCTAGGCATTATTCAAGTGAAGATTCCGTATGAAGGAAGTACTTCGGTTTAATTATTAATTGCTTGGCTCCTATTACTTTTTACTATAATACTATTAAATAAAATATAACCTATATGATTACAATCAGTTATCTTCATTCCCTTTAATTGTAACAATTTAAAATTGACTTTCCTTAGTTCTAAACAGTTTCGTGTGAAAAAGCGTATCTAAATTTTGTCTAAGGCTAGATACGATTTTCTCTAGGGTGTCTTTTAAAGTTAAGCTTTGGCAAAGGATTATTATTGATCTTCAACTAATATAAGATGCTTAATTTATTCTATCAAGTCTAGTCCAGTTTGAGATATTTTGTAAGCGAACTTGTAAGTGTTCTTCTTAACTGCTTTAAGTTAAATTAACAAACTGCTGTTTGCACCAAGTCCTCTATCTTCGCTGCTGGTTACCGTTTTTGAACGCAATGCCGTAACGATCTACGGACGGCTAACCGAAAACACTAATAAATGCTAGCAGGAGAGCTCACTTACGAGCTAAAGACGGTGCACGCTAACGCCATCCGCATAACGCACCTTTGGGTTTTTGTTATAGTTGAGGTTTTAAAAGTTACAAAAAGAAAATTAAAGGACACTCTAGTTAAACTAAAACTTTATTTTTGCTGTTTACTTCAGTGAGAACTCGAAAGCACAAGGAAGTAGTTCTAATACATATATATATATATATTAATACTGCCCAGAAGACGCGCCCTTATAGACTAAACGTGAGGAATGTATCAGAGCTACTGATCCCTTTATAATGACTAGAAAAAATGAAAATTAATTAGGTTTAAGTTTTTTTGCTGGTTTACATTTTAATTGACGTGACGAACGGCTTATTTCGTCGTAGCCTTTTCTGAAAAAGATACTTTAAACTTTTTATGGTGACACAAAAATTAAGTTTAAAAATTGATATGCCCGACAATGGGTTGAGTTTTTCATATCGATACTCCATTTATCACCATTCAAAATGATTTTTTTTTTATAAAATCCAATTCCTTGACTAACAATCCTTCAGGACGCTAAAAAGTGCTCGCTCGAAATAATTAACTTAAAATACCGAACTCCAGCTCAAATTCACCGGGCAAATACAACTCGTTTTCAGAACTGTCCTTCTGTTTAATATGATTCCTACCTTTGCTTTTAACCCCTACCTCAAAATAGATCCATTTTCCATTAGTAGGGGGCAGTGCAAACTTAAAATGTTTTCTCCGCCTTCAAGCTTACGTTAAAGTTATTTAATAAATCTCCATCTTCAAACAAACTAATAATCACCCCTTTTATTTTTTATTCTTTATTATCCTAATCTCTTACACTTTCCACGTTAAAAAACACCGTTTTATTAAATGCTTAATTCCATCATAATTTTTAGAATTATAAATATAATAAAGGCAATAAATTCTAAATGTTTATTACGGATTATGCCGAATTGCTATAAGTTCGCCGAGTGGATGGCAATTTTGTTTTATAAAACTTTATTATAAACAAGTAAGTAAATTTTGATGGCAGTCCGTAAAACTATTTTAAAGAGAAATTTTAATTAATTAGAAGTTTCTGTAGTTTCCTCGCTTGCCATAACTTTTTTTCATACCGAAAAAATGGAAAGTTATATAAATTTAAACTTTTCTAAATATCATATCATTCAAATACCAGAAAAAATTTCGTTGTTGTTCCATTCGATGTAATTTTTGATATAGCTTATAAAAAGTAAAATTTGAAATTATATTTAAAATTTATAAAAACTTAATAACTTTTGAGAAAGGGGTAAAGTGTACGGATCAAAAGGAAAATAAGCCTCAATAATATTTTTGCTTCCCGAATTAAAACGATTCGGAAGAGGAATGCTAAATAAGAAATTTTTAAAAAAAAAAAGATTAAAATATAGTTGATCAAAAGACATTAGGACAAGAGCAACCAATAGAACACAAGTTACTTATTCAAGAAAAATTCTGAATTTTGTTAAATGACAACCAATAAAACACAAATTACTTGATCCCTTAAAATGATGGATTATTTATTAATAAAAAATAAAAAGAGGCAACCAATAAAACATATTTACTTGAACTTTTAAAAATGTATAATTATTTTATAATAAATAAAAAAAATGATAACCAATAAAACACAATTTACATAATTCACTGGAAATGCTGAAGTACTTCCAAAAAATAATAGCCAAAAAAACATAATTTTATAAACTTAAAAAAATGCTGGATAATTTTATTAATGAATATGAAATAATGGCAACCAATCAAAAACTATTTATTGCTGTATTACTATTTTAAAAAATTAAGAAAATGGTAACCAATAAAATATAATTTACATAACTTTTAAAAATGTATTAGTATAATTAAAACTAAAAATTGGTAACCAACACAATTGTAATTTACTAAAAAGGCTAAATTACTTTTTAAACTAACTTACATAAAAATGGCAACCAAGAAAAAATTATTTACATGATTTCTAAGAAAAGATGTGTTATTTATAAAATTAATGATAACCAATAAAACATAACTTATGTAATTCCCTAAAAAGGTTGCCTTATTTTTTTAATAGAAAAAAAAAAAATAGCAACTAATAAAATTCAATTTACATTATTTATACAAATGCTATTTTATTATAAAAAAATTAAAAAAATAATAACCAATAAAAAAAGTTAGTTAATTAAACCAAAATGCTGAATTACTTTATGTAATAAAAAATATGGCAACCACTGAATACAGTTTAAACTATTCAAGTTTATAACTTATCCATAATATTAAATATAATTAATTCACTTTTATGAACAAAAAAATATAATAGTTGCACTTCAATTTTTTAAATTTTTTTTTAAGAAAAACTTTTAATTATTCAATGTTTAATTAAAAAAAAAATTTATTAATTTTACTTATTATAATAATACAAAAAATTGAGACATTGCAACTTTTATATGCAAATTTTTGGTTTTTTTTTTAAACTCAAATTCTAGTAAAAACTTTTCATTATTATAAAATTTTTATTAAAGTAATTTTTTTGATTTACAATTATAATTATAAGTTTATACTAAATCATTTTGTAATTTTCTTAATTTTTAAAATTTTAATTTCTAGCCTGAAAGTATATAGCTTTACAAAGTATTATTTATTATGATTAAATTGTTTTTAAGGTAATAACACTGTGCATCATTAATACCAATTTTCTTTTACATATTTATTATTATTATGGAATTTACAGGCAATCTTTTTAAATTTTTAAAGCGAAATTTTAAATTTCTAAAAATAAATTCAATTTAGATTTCTTAATAAATTATTATTTTAAAAATTAAAGTAGTCCATATCATTATTGATTATTATTAATTTTTTTATAAACTATTTACAATTCATCTTTTTTATGCTTATTATTAACTTCATTATTTAATTTATTTTTTCTAATTTTTAAAAAATTATAATTTTCTGTATTAAAAACTTTTTATTATTAAATTATTTTATTTCAAATAAAATTTTTTATTTAAATTTAGTTATTATAATTATAAAACTTCAAAAGGATTTGTAATTATATATTTATTTCAAAATTTATTAATTTAAATTTTAAAATATTTTATAAAATTTTATAGTGAATACAACTTTTTATAAAATAACTTTATTCTTTTTATTTATAAATAATATAAAAATAATATAAATTAATACAAATTTTATAAAAAATCTAATATATAATAATAATAAAGTATAACTATATAAAAATATTTTTATTAATAATATTTTAACAAAAAAATTTATATTTTTAACTATTTGAAAAAATAATTTTCTTATAATTAATATTTCTTTATTCATTAGTAATTTATAATTATTATAATTATAAATTTTACTATTTATGATATGTCGGTCTATTATTATTATTATTGCTTTACTACTTTCAATAAGGATTTTTTATATATTTATTGTTATTTTACCATAATTATACCTTTTCTTATTAAAAAATTTTTAAGTATTATTTATATTATATTATTAACAAATTATTTGCCTTTTATTATATTATTAATTTCAATTCTGAAAACTTTTTTTTAAGTTTTATATTATAAAATTTTATACTATTCTTAATTTTATATTCCTTAGTAAACCATATTTTTAATTTTTTTTAATTCCTTTCATATTCATTTGGTTATAAACTGTTATAATATTATTTTTATTTTATAATTTAATTTTTTTTTTGATATTAATAAAATTATTTTATACTCAAAAAACTTTTTTAAGTGAATAAAATTATAAACAATTTTTTTAAATTAAAATTTGTTATATATTAAATTCTAATATTTTTAAGTATTCTTTAAATATTAGATTTAAAAGATTTTTTTTATTAGTAAACCATACCCGAATCTTTTCTAAATTCGTAATTTTGTTAGTAGATTGAATTTTTAATTTTGCTTTTAATTGATAAAAATTATTATTATAATATTATCTTAAATTAATAATTTATAATAAATTTATTTTAATTTTTATAGTAAATTATTTGATAATAAGAAAAACTATATATAGTAAAATAAATTTACAACAATTATATCTAATTTCTTCTTGAATTAATTTTATATATTTTTTTAAAAAAAAATTATAAAATTTAAAACATATTCTTTTAATATTTTTATAATAAAAACATAATTGAATATTTTTTTTTAATTCTTACTTTATTAGAAAATTAAATTCTGAAATTTATCTAGTTATATTTATTAATTATTAAAATATATTATTCAAATTACTTTTACTAATAGATTAAAATTTACAAATTTTTTTTACAGAAAATTATAAATTTCTGAAAGTATATAAAGCGAATACAAACTTTTTATTTCTTTCTATAATACTGTAGCAGTAGAGAACTTCATATTTTCGGGTAATTCTTGCAAATTCGCTTACTATTGCCGGCGAGCAAACCTGATAAAATATAAAACGGAATTTCAAGATGCAGTTTTTCTGATAAAAAAAATGAAAACTATAAATTAAAAGTTCTCCGTGTTTCGCTATAAAAAATTAAGTTATATAAAATTTACTTTTAAACAATTTTGATTGAATCGAATTTTTTAAAATTGAAAAAAAAATCTAGAAGAAAAATTCACTTAACTTTTTAAAATATTAAAATTTTAGCAAGCAAATATAGAATTTTAAAAAAAATATCTACCTCTAAGAAAAATAATTGTTTTTACATTAAAATCTTAAATGGTTAAAAATAAAAAAGTTACTTGTGAATACTTTAAATAGTCAGACTTTATAAAATACAAATTACGTTTATAGCATTTAAATTTAACTCGACTATGGCATATACAAAATAAATTTAAATAATTACTTTATGAGTATTTTAAGGGCAGCTTCTAATAAATTCATTTTACATAAAAATGAAAAAAATATATTTTGTAACTTAAATTTGATCAGATTTTGGTGTATAAAAAAGTTTTAAAATAAATTTAGCATAATAGAAATTTAGAGAACTAAAATATGATTTCGATTTTGGCATAAAAAATAAATTTTTTATTTTACTTTAAGAAATTAAGTTTAAGAAAAAAGTACTTTTAGAGGATTTAAATTTGATTCGATTATTATGTTGAACTTGAGATGATTTATAGATGAAACTTTAAATTCTTTAAAAAGTTTGCTGTGAACAAAAATAAATGCGTAGAAAAGCGCCTGACATTTCGCATAAAAAACTCTAAAAAAAGTATTATAAAAATAGTAAAATTTAAATTCATAATTCAAAAATATTAAAAGGAAAAAAAACAAATCAAAAAAATAAAAAGTCTTCTTTTAATGAATTAAAAAAAATTAAATTGAAAAATGTTATTTAAATAATAAAATGTATAATTAAATGAAAAAACTTTTTATTTCTATAATACTAATAAAATAATAAAAAAAAAAGAAAATGTAAAAAAGGAATTAATACAGATTAAATAAAACTTCGTTTTTTTTTTAAAAGAAATTTATAAAAAAATTATTTTTTTTATAACGAAATGTATAACTTTAGTGAAACTTTTATATAAAAGAAAAAGAAATTTAATAAAAAAAATATATATAGAAAAACTTTTTTAATAGACCAAAAAAAATATAACATTTTTTTTTATATAAATTTTTTTTGAATAATCAAAAAAAAAATAAAAAAAGTGGTAATAAAAAATTATATAATAAATTTTTTATAATAAAAAATATAAAGTAGTTTATAAAAATTGTTAAATAGCTAAACTTATTTGTGTGTAAAAAAAATTTCAAAAAAAAGTAAACTGTATTTTTATAATGAAAAGTAAAACTTTTTATTTAAATTATTAAACGAAATTAAAAGAATAAAAAAATTTAGTTCAAAAAAAGTTTTTTTAATAACATAATTTTAATTATTATGAATAATAATCAAAGAAAAAAATAAAAAAAAGGTTTAATAAAAAAATATTTTTTAAAAGTAAAGTAAATGATATAAAAAATTTTTAGGAAAACCTTTCTATATATATATATATATATATATATAAATATTATCTCAAAAAATAATCCAACGAAAAAAATATAAAATATTATGTAATTGTTACAAAAAAATTAGCTCTTTATATTTATATAATGAAAATAACGTTCTTTTAATAATAGTAATGAATAAAATAATATTATTTGTATAAAGAAATAGAAATTATTATAAAAAGTTAATGCGGAAAAAAATTATGTAAAAAAGTTTCTTTTTTCTTTAAATAAAGTTTAGATATAAAATATATTTTTATTTAATTTTAAAATATATAAATATTTTCATAAATAATTTAAACTAAAATTTTTAGAAAAAAAGAGTATAAAGAAATTTGGTAAAACGCTTACTTATAATTAAAAAATATATAAAAAGTTTCATTTTAATAAAAAAAGTATAAGTTTATTTTCTTTTAATAAAGAAGATATAAGTAAAAAAAAACCTTAAATATAATTTATATACAAAAATTTAAAAATTATTTAAAGTGGGAAAAAAAGTTTATATAAATTTTTTTTGGTAAATAATACTCAAGAAAATTATTATAAAATATATTTTGTTTTGAGTATTAAAAAAAGTAGAAAGAAATTTAATAAAACTCTGTATAAAGAAAATAATAAAAGTTAAAAGGAAAAAGATATATAAAAAATAATAAAAATTATTAAATAAAAATTTTTTTATAAAAAATCTTTAAAAAAATTTATAAGCAAATTGAGTTTTTGCATAATCAGAATTAAATATAAAAAAATAAAAAGAAAAATTTTATATATACATATTTTTAATAAATAATAATCTAAACAAAAAATTATTATAAAAAACGACTCTTTGTTTGGAATAATAATTTTATAAAAAAATAAATAAAAGGTTATAAAAGTAAAAGAAAAGTAGTAAAAAAAATTTATACAAAAGTTTCTTTTATTTGCTTTTAACTATAAGAAATAAAATTATAAAAAACTTTAATAAAACTTTTTTCATAAAAATAAATTTATTTATAAATGACAATCAAAAGAAAAAAATACATAATAAAGGGGGAAAAATTGTTTTATAAAAAACTTCTTATAAATAAAAAATAAATAGAGTATATAAATTTCATATAAACTTTTTATATATATGAAACAGTTAGGAAAAAAAAGTTTTCTTCTTTTCTTTCTAATAAAAAGTAATAAAAGTTTAAAAAAAATAATGTATATTTATATATAATAATAATAAATAATTAAAAAATACTAAAAAATTTAAGAAAATAATTAAAATATTCCGTAAAACTTTTTTGTATAAAATAAAAAAAAATTATAATAACATAAAAAATAAACAAAAAATAGTATAATAATAATAATCAGTGAATATATATAAGTGATAAATATAAATATAATGAAGATATAGTTAAAAAATAATAAAAAATTTACATATAATAAAAAGAAAATAAATAATAAATAATAATAAAAATAATATAAAAAAAAAAAATTAACTCAAAATAATAAATAATAAAAACAATTAGAAAAAAAATGATAAATATAATTATTAAATAAAATAAAACTGATAAATAATTATAAAATTATAAAACATGAAAAAATAAATTATAATAGAAATAAATAAATAAATTAATAATAATCATAGATTAAAGAAAAATTGGTAGAAGTAGTAATATTTGAAAGAAAAGTAAATAAAATATAGAATAAATATAATTATTAACTAGAATAAAAATAAATTATTAAATAAAAAATACTAAAAAGTATAAACTATAATAAATATAAAACTTACCGATGAAAAGAAACATCAATGCTAACATGACTGGCTTTGTAATCGTATTGACTAATATAAGATAAAAGCCACGTAGACTACGCAAATATGAATAATGAATATATTATTTTTTTATAAATTTTATAATAAAGTTCTTATCATTCTATAATATAATAAATAAAATATTATAAAAATATACTTTAGTATAAAAATATATATATAATTTTATCGATTATTAATAATAATTAAAAATATATAACAAGCTAAAGAAAGTAAATAAAACTTTTTTTGGTTATTTTTTTTAATGAAAATAAAAAATAAATAAATTTATTTTTAATATCATCTTATTTAGTATAAAAATATATACCAATTCTTTTCACTGTAAAAACTCATTTTAATATCAGTATATTTATAATATTAATAACAACTTTATAATATAATGTTCTTCAAGAATATAATATAATAATAAGCAAAATATAAAAATACATTAAAACATACAATGTATAAAATAAGTATATTATTGGTAGTAAAAGTTTAGTATATAAAATAAATAAAACTTGTTATGTAAGTTCTTTATATAATAATAATAATAATGAATACTAATTTTTTATTAATAAAAATTTATTTTAGTAAAAAAATTTTAAAAAAATATAATAATATAATTAAAAAACATTAATTAATAAAAACAGAATTTTTCCCCCAAAGTATCGAAAATTTATATAAATACTTTATAATATTAGTTATTAGTTTGATTATTTATATAATAAAAAGTAAATATTATTGCTAAAATCAAAAAAATCAAACTTTCTGTTATGAAAATATAAAAATTTAATAAGTAAATAAAAAAAATTCTAAAAGTAAAAATAGTCCACTGAATAGTCATAATTTTATTTTAACCAATAAAACCTAAAATAAAGCACCTACCTCAAAAGTTTGAAAATTTTATAATAAAGCGAACAAACAAAAAAGAGGCAATAAAAATATTTTAATTTATATATATATAAGTGACCAATCGCTTTAATATAAACATAATAAGTTCGCTAGAGACTTGATCATGTCGAGCAATGAAACTTGAAGTGTACATCGCCTAAACAAAATTCCAAAAAATATTAAAAGTATTAAAGAATCTATGTTAAAGATAAATAATATAAAGTAAAAAGTATATAATAAAAAAAAGAAAATATAAAATAAATATAAGTAGATATAGAAGAAATTATTAATAGTTAGTTAAGAAAAAATGATACTAAGAAAAATTATGTAATAAAAAAATTACTATAATATATTCAAGTGATAATAAAAAATATTCTGAATATAAAAGAAAGAAAAAAAATTAAAAAGTAAAATGCATAGATAAATATATAATAAGGATATAATAAAAAAGATATATTCAAGCAAATACAATAATTAACAGTAAGTAAAAGTAGATAATAAATTCTCATAATGCACAAAATAATAACAGTAAGAAACTTATAACCGACAAACATAAAAGGATATAAAATTCTCACAAGCGATTGGCGGGTAACTGCCGGGAGGCGCGGCTGGAATAGCCTAGTCATTAAAAAATCCACGAAAATAGGGACCAATGAATGGTTGAGAGAACAAGCATGAAATATAATGAATTGCACGAAACGGCTTTTGTGAGTCGTGAGAATAACTTTTTCAAAAATGGTCTACAGAGTAAAAAGTTTTATTAGTTTTTGTCATCATATATTTTTATATAATAAAGATTATATTAAATATTTCTTTTTCAAATATTTTATAATTTGATAATAATATCGATATATAAGAATTTGAAAATAAAATATATTTATAGAAGAAAAAATAATATAAAAAGAAAATTTTTTTATTAATTAAATATAGTAACAGATATTTAAAGAATAAAAATTGCAAATAATTATATAAAAATTTTTATAATAAAATATATCAATTATGTTATACTAAAAAAAATATCTTATATTGATATAATATTTATAAATAGTGAAATTTTATAAAAATATTAATACAATATTTAAGAATTTGTTTTTCAATTTTTAAGATAATTTTATATTACATATTTTTATAATAGTAATAATAAATATAACCAATTATTACGACTATAAAAAAATATTTCCTTGATTTTTAATATAATTTATAGTTTTATTATAATAGTCGATATTATATAGAAAATTATTCCTGTTATAAATATATTTTTTCTACAGAAGTATCTCGTAATAAATACATTTATATTGTTAAGGTAAATTATATTTATTAATAATAATAATGAAAAGATACAAGAGCTACTTATTAATATGATAAATATTATTAGTAGTATAACGTATATTTATAAATAAATTTTTCCAAAAAGTTTATTTTTTTTTGTATTTTTTAATATTCTTAAAATAATATTAATAACTTAAAGACGAGCAAAAAAATGAAGAGCCCAATGTTATTATATATTTTAATATATATTATTTTTATAAGCCTTTCTTTTAGCAACTTTAATATTTTTTTTATAATAATAGTAAATTAATAACTAAAAGATGCGTGAACAACTGAAGAGCTTGTTCTTGTTCCTCAGAACTTTCTTTATCTATTATTTTCAACTTTTCTGCTAAATATTCGAAAACTACAAGCATCATGCGGTCCAATTTGTCTATCATTTCTTCAAATTCTCCTATAAAATAAATTATTATAATATACATTTATAATATAATAATACTTTTTCATCTTGATTATTATATATTTTTTTTTATTAATTATATTAATTAATAATAATTATTAAAAAATATTTTCATGTTTTTTCTTTTATGATAAAATAATTATACTTTGCAATTTTTATTATAATACTTTATTATTTATTATATTTATTATATATTATACCCAATTATATATAACATTAATTAAAAAGTATTTTTAAAAAGTTTATGTATAATATTAAAACAAAACGATAATAAATATTTTATTTATTTATTATACCAATTACTTATATTGAAAAAAAAGTTGTATTTATATTTATTAATAATATTCATTAAAAAAAGTTTTTCATATAGAAATAATAGAAGTATAATAATTAAAAAACCAGCTTTATGGGCTCCGTCAGTTTTACTTTCTTTAAAAGGGCTTGCATTACTTATACTTTCCATGGATGTCCTTTAAGAAAATATAATAGTAATTATATTAATAGAAGAAAGAATAATTATTATAAATAAATAAATACAAAATAATATTAATAATAGTAAATAATAATAATTTACTTCAGTAAAACTGGATTAATGTCGGCGTCAAAAGAGTTTATGTTACCCTAAAAAGAGCAATAATCATTAATATTTTAGTAGTAATAAATTATAAAAACGAAAATAATTTATAACGATTAATTAGAAAATAAGTAACCAATTAAAATAAATATAAGTAATTAAGAATAAATATAAATAACCAATAAAAATACAATATAAAAATACTCTCGTATTTTCTGCATTATCTGTTTCTTCGTAAGCCGCAGAACTTTCCTCAGAGGAGTCTGATATATCCTCTTCCTCGCTTTCTCCAGAACTTGACGAGGAGTCTACTATTTCCAACTAATTAAAAGTAAATAATAGTGATAATAATGATAATAATAATAATAATAATAATGTACGTCTATTTTTAGCATCCTATGAATCACTAGAGAAAGAACTTGGAAACGAAGCACAGGAACATAAGAGAGGACGGTAAACACGTGCCTTAAATAAAACTCGTGGCGAACAGCGGAGCGCGTTCGATACGGAAACGAGCACTTCAAGGCTTCACCAATAACATTTGCACAAGAGGGACATGCCTTATAGTATTTTATGTATTTATTATAATAAACTTCTCGTATATATGTAATAAACTTTATAAATAAATATGATTTATTAAAAGAAAATTTTATTATGTATAAAAATATTTAATAATACAAAACTTTTGTCAAAAAAAATTAATATTTTTGTTATCAAAATGAGTTTTGTAGAACTTTTCATAAATGAATTTATAAAATGTGCAAACCATCATTCTCAGTAGAAATTATTTGTTATAAATTTTATAAACAATAATAAAAAAGGAAAAAAAATACTTACTACTATATAACAAAGATATACTTTTTTAAAAATATTATAAAAATATTTCCTACCAAAAAAGTATCTTAAAACTTTTATAAACAAAAAATTAATATATAAAACTTTGAATTTTTTTTTTTTTAAAATAATAAATATTAATAATAAGTTTACTAATAAAAGTATAATTATAAACTTTTATAAATGATAAAAAAATTAAAACTTTGAAATAAAAATTTACTATAAATTAATAATATTAACTTTTTTATAAAATTATAAAGAAAAAGTTTATATTAAAATTTTAAAAACAAATTTTTAATGTGCAGTAAAAATTGTCTTCCAATGCTTTTCTTACTTATATAAAATGAAAAATGCAATAAATATATAAAATCTATTCATTAATAAAATTATTACAGTTTTTATAAAGTTGTTGTAAAATGTTCAACTTTTTTATAAATTTCTAAAAGAAATATTAAAATATTTGTAGAATACGCAAGACCTAAAAAAAATATAAAAAGTTGTTGGTCAGCCAAAAATCATTAAAAGTCGTACATTTGTAAACATAAATTTTATGTAAAAATTTTTTGTTTTCTAAATGCATTTCTTTAATTTAGCAGAAAAAGTTTCAGATTTTCTCAAATTTTACTGCTTTTTTCATAAAAAGTTCTAGTAAATGATCTCAAAAGCTGAAAGCGGACACAGATGTGTTTTACTTAAGAATTCCAACTACAAAAATAATAAATCCTAAAAATAATACTATTCAGAAAAATCTCAACAATAGTAACATAAATATTTTTTAAAATCTATAATAAAATCAAAATAACTTAAAATATAAAACAAAACAGTTTTCAAAATTCATAAAAACAAAACAATTACAAAAAAATAAAAATAATTATAAAACCTAAAAAATTTTTTATACTCATAAAATATTACAAATACAACAATAATAATTAGTGTTAAACTTAATAAAAATTTCAAAAGATTTATAAAGGTACAATCATTTATAGTAAAAAAGATAATTAAAAATAAAAAAAATATAAAATTTATTATAAACCCTGAAAAAGTTTTATAATACTCATAAAAAATCACAAACCATGAAAATAATTTTAATTATTATAAACCACATATGTTTTAATAAAATCAGATTACATTTATAATAAAATCATTAATTGCCTTATATTTTTAAAAAGTTTAATAGTAAGAAATAATAAATAACAATAGAAAACTTTAAAATTATATAAAAAAGTAAAAATTAACAAAAAAGCCCTCAATAATAATAAAATTAAAGTAAAATTATATAGAATTTGTAAGTAGTAAAAATTAAAACCGAAATTAAATTACTAATCACTTTAAAAAAAGTTATTTAAAAATTATTAAATGTAATTTTTTTTAATAAATATATTCGATTTATTGGTATAAATAAATAAAAAATTATTTATTATAGGAAAATAAAAAAGTCTTAACTTACAAAAATAATACTAATAAATAAAATTAAAAAGCAATTTAAAATTAATACAATTTGTGAGTAAAATTTGGCAACCAAAATTAATTACAAAACACTTTATAAAAAAAATTCAATATATTTTAATAAATTTAATATAAATTCTCATTTAGTACTTCCAATTAAATTGAAAAATATATATAATTTGAAATAAAAATTAAAAAATAATTATTTGCTAATTACTTTATATAAAAATAATTTAAAATAATTTAGAATTTAAAATAAATTTTCATTAATACTTCAATTTAGATTATAGAAATTAATTCTATTTTTAAAAAATATTTTCATACATAATAAATCTAAAAAATAAAGTTAAATAAATTATAATCAAATGTAATTACTTACTAACTAGTTTATATAATAAAAATCGAAAATAATTAAATTATAAAATAAATCCTCGCAAAGTACATAAAATAAAATTACAATAATTAAATTAGACTTTTTAATTCATATCTAAAAAAAAAAATAATTAACTTTAGGAATAAAATTAAATTTCTGATCAAAATTAATTACTTTTACAACAGCAAACAAAATTTCGTGAGGATACGTATAAGAATATGTACAGCTTGTTTTTTGGGAGTAAATCTGATTACTAAAATTTAAAGATTCGGTTGCATCGACAAACTGTAATGCACTTTCAGAATCTTTTTATACATAAAAAAATTAATTTTTAAAAAATATTATAAAGTAATTTATAAATTCAAAATGCTTAAGAATAAATATAAATTTGAAATTTGCTAGTAAAAGTAAATTTTAGGTATTAAGAATCTATTATAAAATATGGATTATAATTTTTTTTAAAAATCTAAATTAATTACAAAGAAAGTTAAATTTAATTGAATATATAACTTGTAATGCTTTACAAATTCTGAATTTATTAATTAATATTGTAATATATATAGAAAAAAAATTAAAAATACTAAAATTTTAATAAATAAATTTAAATTATTTTTTTATAAAAAGTAAATATATATTTTTGTTTCTTTTATAAGCTTTCAATATTTCTTATATTAAATTAACATTTATTTTTTATTTTTTTTCTAAATTAATTGATAAGGTAATAATAAGCAAATTAACAATAACAAACTTTATTTTTTTAAAGAGTAAATAAATATTATAAAAATAATATTATAATAAAAATTATATTTTTTATAAAAAAATTGATTACAAAAAAAAAATTAATAACTTTAAAATAATTAAAAATTAATTTTTTTACTATTATAAAATATAAATTTTTAGTTTTTTTTATAAAAACTAAATTAGTTTCAAAATCGTTATTGGCAATAAAATATATACATAATACTATAAAAACAATAATGTAATTATATTTTTTATATAAAAATCGAGAATTACAAAAAAGTTATTAAAATTAAAATAAAAATAAAAATTTCTTATTTATAAAGCAATTATAAAGTACTCTAAATATAATATATACTATAAATTATATTTTTTCTAAAAAAATTTAAATTAATTACAAAAAAAGTAATTTACATGGAAAAAAATAAGTTTGATTTTTTTAAAGTAAAGATGTGAGTATTATAAAACCAGTTTTTTATATAAATTAGTTTTAAAAAAAAATTAAAAATACTTTTAAGAAAAATAAAAAGTAAAAAAGAAATAAGAATTTCAAATGTTTTAAAGCTTAAAAATAGTTAAATTTAATTTTTTTTTAACCGTAAATTTTTTAAAAAATTATAAAATTATAAAACTAATTGTGTAATATTAATTATATTTTTTAATAAGAACCTAAGATAATTTATATAAGTTTAAAATAAATACTCAAAGATAATATTTCAAACATTAGTGTTAGAAATAAATCTAAAATTTAATATTAAAAAGTTAAAAGTAAAATTAAAAATATAAAATATATTTTTTAAATAAAATCTTAATAAATAATTTAAAGTAGATTAGCTTTACAAATAAAAAAATATCTTATATATATGCAAAATACAATTTTTAAGATGAGAATCTAAATTATGATATAAAAAAAAAAATTAGCTTTTCCAAAAAAATAGTTAAATTATATAATATTATTAAGCAAAATCTAAATTTATGGCTATATAAAGTGAATATAATTAGTTTAACAAATAAAAATTATATCCTTATAAATAATTTAAATAGATTTTTATAAAAAAATGGAAATTAATTACTCAAAGTATTATATGTAAAATTATATTATAGAGAATACTTTTATGTATAAAAATCCAAATTAAATACTAGAAAATTAGCAAAAAAAATATTTTTATTATATAATTATATAATATAAATAATAATTTTTTTAAATTAATCTAAATTAATAACTAAAGAAACTAAAATAAATTAGCTTTACAAAAAATTTACCCTCCAAAAAATAAGAAACTAATTTTTCAATAACTACTACACTGTAATAAGTGTGAGCAGAAAGAAGCGATTCTATAAAGTTTAGATAAACTGAAAAGATTTCGAGAGGAAGTTTGAGTAAAGGAACCTTTAAGTTTCCCAGTGAATTACAGTAAAAAAAAATTAATATTAAAATTTATTAATCTACAGAAAAATAAGTTGCCTGTAAAACGGCATTAATTAAATCAAGGCCTTCTGAACTTAGTAACGAGACGTTGTCCGTCAAATCTTTTAATATAGTTTTTAGTTGACTAAAAGTGAGGTCGGGTGAAGTGAGAACTTTTATTAACTGAGAGTACAACTTGGTAGAACCCTAAATATAGCAGATTATTTAATAAAAAACAGTCTACTATGTTAATTTTAGAATAATGAAATATTATATATAACTCAATAAAACTTTACTGAGTATTTTTTTCTAATAAAGTTAATGCTAAATTTAAAATTAATTTATTTAAGATATAACATTCCACAATATGAATCTTAATAAAACTCTATTGGAAGCAAAGATTTTTTCTTGAAAAAAAAATAAATATTAAAAAACGAACATTTCACCAAAATAAAACTTAATAGAACTCCATTGGGATTATAGGAAAATATAAACAGTTTATTATGTTACTTTTTCTATAAAATATAGACGAAAAATAACGTTTAACAGTAAAGCATATAATAGAATGCTAGTCATACCAGATTAAATAAGCAAAGCTTTTTATGTTAACTTTTACATAAAAATAATTAAAAAAATAACTTTTAATAAGGAA